AGGTCCCCTCTCAGCCTTCTCTTCTTCAGGCTGAACAAGCCCAACTCTCTCAGCCTTTCCTTATAGGGGAGATGCTCCAGTCCCTTCATCATCCTAGTTGCTCTCCTCTGGACTCTTTCTAGGAGTTCCTCATCTTTCTTGAACTGGGGAGCCCAGAACTGGACCCAGTGCTCCAGGTGGGGTCTCACCAGGGCAGAGTGGAGGGGGAGGAGAACCTCCCTCGCCCTGCTGGCCACGCTCCTCTTAATGCACCCCAGGATGTCATTGGCCTTAGAATCATAGAATCATAGAATCACTTCGGTTGGAAAAGACCTTTAAGATCATCGAGTCCAACCTTTAACCTAACCCTGCCATCCCACCACTAAACCCTGTCTATCCTTCTTTTAAATACCTCCAGGGAGGAGGACTCTACCACCTCCCTGGGCAGGCCATTCCAGAGCCTGACAACCCTTCTTGGCAACAAGGGCACCCTGCTGGCTCATGGTCAGCTTGTCGTCCACCAGGACTCCCAGGTCCCTCTCAGCAGAGCTGCTTCCCAGCAGGTCAGCCCCCAGCCTGTACTGGTGCCTGGGGTTCAAGCTCCCCAGGTGCTGCGCTCGACACTTGCCCTTGTTGAACTTCATCAGGTTCCTCTCTGCCTGACTCTCCAGCCGTCCCCATCCCCTGGGGTATAAGACAAAACCTGGATCCAATGACTAGGGATGAGCTCAGGAGAGGTGGCAGCACCAAAGCGCCTGACATCCTACTCTGATTTCCCCCCTGGATACCCTAGGAGATGTCCTGTAAATCCCCGTTCCGCGTGCTGACCCTGCTCCCACATCCGTCTTGCCTCTTCACCTTGAACCAAAAATGACAGCACGTGGGCCAAGCCCACTCGTTTTACATTGAGTGCTGCTAATCTTCACGAGGAGACATGAAATGCCGGGGCCAAAAAGAAAATATCCTTTACTTTCTACTTGTCCAGATCTGCACGTGGCGGGACCCTGTCTCTGCCGAGGCTTGGGGGCTTATTACAGCAATGATGCAGAAGGAAGGAAAATGAGATGAAAACATATTGAACAAAATTTATTAGAT